TGTAGATTAAAGTTTAAAAGTTTATAAAACTAACTAATAAAATGAACTATTATAACTTCCATCCTGGCCTAATCTGACTTTCTTAGCACCTACAAGCAAAAGGAGATTTTTAAAAGTAGTGTGTCACAGACCCCACAAAGACCAGTCACTGTAATAATGACAGAGTTCCACATGAATGACAGAAGCTGGATACTCACTGCTCATTTCAAGTTTACTGTTCAGCTGTCTTTGGGCAACATCATCCAGCCTCCTGCAGCAAAGCCAATAAGACAGCAACACCCCGCCATCTGGTGGGCTGGGGCTGACAATACAATCAACCACACATTACAGTGGGTTGTGCCACAGCTATCTTTGCCTGCTGTTAGGCCAGAGAATCTAATAGTGTAGTGAGTCTCCGAGCAATTTTCCGAAGGGCTTAGAGAGCTCCTGAGGTGAAAATGAAGTGCAAATTAATCCCATCATTGTCTTTTTTTCTCCCCTCTCTCACAAGAGAACGACATTTCTGGTGTTACACTCTTGCAGCTCATTATCTTGCTGGGTTAGCTACATCTTCCTGTGCTCAATTACTGCAGTATTATATCAACGCTCACTTTTCAATTAATTACAGAATAAAATTGAAAAATAATCATATATTGAAAATATGGTAATGAAATCCCATTAGATAATCTCTTGCACTGACAGATTTCCCATTTAGGGCAAAGTTAAAGTGTTGCTGGGTACTGAAATGAAATTTAAAAATCTCTTTGATTCGTGACAATATCGGATATTTTGCACTATATAGCAACTACACAAGATGTAAAATAAATAAAATGCATATCTGCATATGCATAATACAAAACAAAAAAGGTTACCAAAAGTGGAAAGGAAAAATTGGTGTCCTGATTCTAGGATACAAGCTGCATGAAGGCAAAATCGTCTTACTTACCGGAGTAAGAATCCGGAGATAGTGAAGACATAATTTACAAAACAAAAAGTCTAAAGAATCAACAACATATATTTTATAGTTTAAAAAAATAAACTATTGTTTTTGTATAATTTACCTGTTTATAATACAATTAATTGTGCAACACGCAAACCAAAAAAATAAACCCACACATATAAATAACAATGGTGGCTTTAAGAAACACAGAACATTAAGGGCAACTAGGAGACTTAGCTCACAGAACTATAAATAAATACAAAAGATACAGTGTTGTAGACACTTTTGAGAGCATTTGGGATCAAACCTGCATTTCCTTGAGTGACTCCACAGCCACGGAAGACTGGGTGGGTCTGTTCCTGTAGCTCACTTTAGCGATCCTGGCGCTGAAGGACATGGCTCCAGCATTCCTTCACGGACAGGCCTCCTCAGTAACTGCGTTTTATATCAAAAGCTTCATTTGGACCAAAGCAAAGGCGTTTTACTCCATTATGTTTTGGTGTATCATTTCTAGTGATTTAGTTGACGCTCTCACTTTCCAGGAAGGCCCCTCGTGTTGTTACTGGTTTCCAAGGTAACGAGGTATTTGTAAAAGGGGGCAAAGGGAGAGAGGGCTGGTCTTTAAAAAAATGTGGGCCACTTATTGGCTATTTTGTTGCAGGTGTTTCACAT